AGAGAGGGGGGGGGGAAGACCTAGAGAGACTAAAGCAATATTGATGTACCACTCCTAAACTTGGAACTTTAAGTTCAACGTATCAAAGATATTGGGATTGATCCAAATAACAAAAAGTTATCGTTGCCTCATCCAGATTCGACTATGTCCAAATAAAAGACGGAGAGGAAGGGGAGTTTGGACAAGCGGTCTACTGTGGGACCACCAGTTTCGATTACCTGTCTACGTCCAACATCGTCCGGATTCGGTTTGTCTCGGACGTAAGCGGGCAAGACGCTGGTTTCCGCATTCATTATGGTAGGTGGAGTCACGCGCTATTTTGCAAGTGATGTGAGGAGAGGCATTTTGTTCTCAAGCCCGTTTTTACAAATTCTGACTTTCGAACGAAAGCTTATCTCCCAATTTAATTGTTCACCTTCCCTCAGTACCTATCTTATAACTTAGCAGTATATTCACAAATAGAGAATGTTTGCATCTGTGTCTTTTGCTCTTTTGTTTTCATGCTTAGTTCGCTACATTCGGAAACTTTCTTTCTTCCTCCTCTCACCCCTCCCTCCACCTCCCAGAACAAATCTCCACCTCCCAGCAGAGAGAGTCAGGCTGTAACATGACGGTGGTAGAACCGGGTAGTGTGACGTCACCAGGCTACCCTTCTCCGTACCCAGCCGACTCGGTGTGTGTGTACCGTATACAGGTGAGAGCTCTTCATTTAACTGGTTCCGCTTCTTCAGAACAAACGATGATATAGACGTGTTCTTAGAAACAACACAGTTTTCACTATCAGACTTATTCTATCCAAAGACTTGTAAGATATAATTATATCTAGGACTGTTAAATCTGATGTGATTCCGGTTCACCACAGACGCGCTATTTGACTCAATTTGAAACCAAAGGAAAGAAATTGAGAGAAATGTTGCACGTGTACCCGACTCTAGTGAGAGATTGCTGTTAAGCCCTTCTTCTGTGCACCCATGTGTGCACTACCCCAGCGAAGTTTTTCAAGAGAGCTTAGAGCAGCTGCCATGACAGTGCATAGTCTATGACAATATGATTCGAATCTATGATTCCAGTGTACGGTTTCAAATTTCTGTTTAAGGCTTACTACAAACAGAATCTAGCAGTGCCCTATTTGAGACATTTATTCCAAACCAAAATTTAAAAAAATGCCTTGATTCTCATTTTCATTAGAGTACAAGATTTTGAAAGATGACTTCAGTTACAAACTTCGTCTAATCCCCCCCCC